TCCCAGCATACAGGGGCTTAGAAAAAATGTCAGGCACTCAAATAAAAATCCTCTCTTGTGACCTCAGCATCTCTACTTAATACAATGCCACAAAAAAAAAAAAAGCTCCAGCAATCAAGGGGAAAGTAGGGTTACAGTTGGCTTGGATCTGGGGTGGGGAGGGGGAAGGGATCATGAAAAAAAATAAATTAAGGGCAGGATTACAATCTGAAAAGCAAAGAACAAATTCTCTGTGCTTGTGTCAATACCTCCCAAGGGGTCTGTCCCAGAGGAACTTCAGCCCCTTTCGCTGCCACGGGAGTCAGAATAGGCAATGAAGCAGATTAATTCGACCTTGTATGTCTAAACAGCTTAAATTCTGTGTGAGCATCACCGAGAGAAATTTAACTCATTAGGTTCTGTGATCAGGAAGTTTGGAGGGACCCATTTTGGTAATTCTCCAAGACTGTATTATTGTACTACTGAACGCTGGCAAACAACAACAGTAACAGGTCACATCTGTATACACTGGAGATTTAGTCTCACTGTTTCATTGTGGTTACTGTTCATATTTACAGTCAGGGTCAGGGATGCTGTACATATCAAGGTGAACAGTGAGATTCTGGAAGAACAACTATCAACTAAATCACATGACGTGGCCACTCTAATGTCTATTGCACACATCCAAACATTTCCAAATCACAAAAATATTAGAAATTCCCAGCATGGAGATCAAACAGCCCTATTCTTATTTTTTCATGTTAGACTTACTGGTATTCCACCAATGTGCTAATATTTTACTTCACTACAACCTCTCTCTGGCTAGATAGACGATTTGAATTTGAAATTTAAAATGGATCTTATTCTCTTTTATACACTGAGCAAATAGCCAGAACATCTTCTGAATGCTTTGCTAGGTATTACTATCTTAGCATCTAGAGGTTTGCTCCCTATACAGATGCCATCTGTACTCACGATGATTCTATTAAAAGTATATGATGAACATTTCAAATAAAATATTCAGTGAACAGCTTTTAGATACAATTACTAGTTGTAATTTTAATGTGCTACTATGTTTAAAGCATTCTGTCCACATCTAATGTATTCATTGTTGAAAGCTTACATTAAATGAAAAGCCTTTATTTGGTAAGGACATCACGATGCCCTTGATGAAAAATATCTGCTCTAAAGGACAGTTATCAATGCTTTTTAATTTAACAGGATGGACAAAATATTTTAATAAAGAGAGACCCTCTTTTCCTGTAAAACACAGAAAAATAAGGTAGGCAACAGCACCACAACCAAAGTATTAGTTACTCATTAGGAGGAATAGTATTTTAACTGTTCAGCACTTAACATTCAATGCACAGGTCTGCTCATTAAGCTAACAAGCAACTAGCTTACAGGATGATCTGAGTTTTGCAAGTTAACTATTTCACTGATGGTCGCTATTTATATTGAAGTAGATCTAATGGAAGTAACAAATCTGTAGAAAAGGAGGATGCTAACTCTCATTAAAATTAACCTGTGTAAAGAAATTACTGTCGACAGAACCAAGAGTCTCTGCACAAATGATTAATCACAAACCATGTGTATTCCTCTTAACATGCACCACCATGGACAGAATTCTATTGGTCACCACAAGAGACTGTCATATTACTTGGAAATCCAAACCCAACAACAGATTGCATGAGTAATATGATGAGACTAACGCATTTGTTGTGTTTATCCTGTCCTGCAAGAAGATTAAAGCAAAAGTTACACAATAAAACAGTAGCTCTTGTAATGCACTGCTGTGACCAATATAGTAATGACAGCCAATGAAAACTATTAGCTTGCCAAAATCCATGCTAAAACGCAAGCATAGCCCCGCAAAACAACTGAGCTGTGAAATCTCAAGGCATTTCCTTATCCAATCAGTGTCAGCTTGGATAGGGACCAGTTAGCTTGGGTAATCACACAAATTGTGCCTACCTGAGGCAAATTACAGTGAATCTAAAAAATTTTAAAACATAAAGACTCCCTAGACAAAACTTGCTTAAATTATTTAAGAACGTGTTATTTATCTCATGTCCTATGATAGCCGCAATTCAGGTAACTGGCTGAAAGCCCATGAGAGGCACAACAAAAACATAGAAGCAAGACACCTATTTTGTAACAGAGGTTTCTTTACACTATATTGCATCTACTTTTCAAATGCAGTATTTTAGAGAAAGAGATGCAAAGCATATGTTAGGGAAAATCCTGGTGTGGTAAATTCAAGGAGAGCTGCAGGTTCTGGGTCTCTCAGAAACTAGTCCCTTCCAATTACTTTTATTGTAATTAGACAAATTGAGCATAACATGGCAACATGAGATGTCAAAAATGATAATCTATTCAAATCCAAATATTTCTTGAAACCCTTAGATTCATTATTAATTATCCAGCATATGATCAGAAGCATTTTTTCTTATTTTGGTAGCACATCACTTCTTTGAAGTCTACTTAACTGCACATTTTACTATGCTCAGAAAAAGAATAGAATCTCTATTGATCCCTTCATGTTTTCAGAGATAGTATTACTTGTTTATACACGCGTACCACAAAGTCATGGTGATCAGTGATTTTAAAATCAGCTGTTTTTCAGTTATGCATATGAGCAAAAATCTCATAGGTAAAGCTAACTGGTTGTAAAAAGAACATTTCAGAGACCTAAAAGCTCATTTTGATGCTCCTCTGTGCATATTTTTCTCCTTGAACTGAAGAGAGATATTGGGCCCAATTTTCCTCACATATCAGTTTGAGACAGGTCCACTGACTTAAACGCAGTAAACTCTGCTTTACACTAAAGGTAGGCTAAAAAGGAATCAGGACCATTTTATATGTCTGAGTTATGAACAGAAATGGACTTGAATACACTGGGATTCCAGATCCACACTCTGTGGTTTGGGTCCCTTGTTAGGTATATTATAGGCATCCTACTCACAAGTGAGTAGAGGGTGTCTGAGAGGAGTTTTTGTTTTTTTGGGGAAATGGTAAACTGTTAAAAACAACAGATTCCTAACTTTAGGCTATACCATATGTCAATTCCCAACTTCAATAGCTGCCTACATCAGTTGGCCTCCAAACTTAGCCCAAACCAAATAGGACTATATTAAATAGCATCCTCGTCAATATGATGTGCATGCACATACATCTGACCAGGCAAATTTAATTTAAAAGGAGTAGTTCCATTGACGTCACTGAAACCGAGTAAGGTCTTACAGGATTCTCCAAACACGCTTTCTAAAACAACATGGTTTAAATACAAACCACATTAAAAATTAAACTGCTTTGCTAAGTTTTGTAATGGAGCTTCTACTAAAAAAAGGGCATATTCTAATTGAACTTTAGCATTAACTGGAAATGCAATGCACTAAGGATGTATCTCATACATAAGTAGTCAGTGAAAACATTATTCACCTATCCTTTTATATTTCATGTCCAGGAAGGCAGAATGGAGCAGCCATTCAGTCAGACACAATAAAACATTCCAAGGGAGATCTGAATTACTCCGAGATAAATAACTCACATTCTCTGCACAAACACTAACTATTAAGTCAGTTTACCTTTCAAAGATCTCTTTGTAAAGTGAGATCTTCGCTAAACAAGTCTGCAGACCTGCACTTTTAAATGGACCAACAACATATGAGCGAGCACATTTTTCACCTAATCTCACACAATCTGCATGGTGCATGTAATATCAAATAACCCCCAAATAACCCTCCCTCTTATGGCTACAGGCCAGAAACTGGTCTACAGCTGTAAGAGAACAGACGTTTGGCACATGAAATCAGTCTATACCTATAACAGAACACAAATTCAGCACGCACAAGACTGGTTTAAAAATGGCAGAAGCCAGTCTA